GAATGTTGAGCAGAAATCCCACAATAGTCAATCACTAACCAAGCTAAACATTTCCCTGGTCAAATTTTAGTGACACTGAATTTTATTACCTCAAACAAACTATTACTCCTGACTTTTCTACAGTCATTTAATCCTGTGTTGATATAATTATTGTTTTTAGGGCAGCTTTTAATATTATTTTTTTCAATCTTGTTTTTAAGGTAAATGAAGCATGAAGTTTATCTTGACGTCGTCTTGTGTGAAAAAAAAGTACAAAATGTTGTTCTCACTGTTCAAACATTCACTGAGCTTTCATTTTCATTGTTCACTAACACAACAAAGATAAGGTTGCAGCCACTGTTGAATGAAACCTTGGGGCTACTACTACTAGTGTCATTTTGTCAGAAATATATACTTAACAGGACGTTTTTCTTTGGAGAAGGTTATAGATTCTTCAACTCAATCACTGTGAAACATGGACCCATAAAGTTAACTGAGGTCCTGTTAACACCTGTTGCACAACAGCACTGTAATCTCAACCTGAATTTATTGAACACGTCGTACAGATAAGAATTGTAAAAAGCTCTTACGTCAGCATTGATAACATACATTCACATTCCTGGACAATCCAACTTTTATGAGCTGTTTCTATTTTAAGCACATTTGCTATTTTTAGCTCCGAAAGGCTGCAGTTTAAAACCCCCAGGTAACATTTCACAAAATCAGTTCAAATTAGAACATTAGGACATAATGACATGCAGTCAACATGCCGTTGTGTCCTTGGGCAAGTGCTCCTGTGGGTGTTTTCCACAGATTTTATGTATTACATGTCTGATATTTGTAATATGTAATGTAACGCACTTTGAGCACTCGGGAAAGCACGAAAAGAAAAATTATTATAATGTTCTCTAAAATTGTTATGCTTTATTAATTATTCTTACTGGTGTTCTTGTGTGTAATGTGACCTTCAGTAAAAGGGCATTCCAGAATGTCACTCATTGTGCAAATTTTATCCGCACACTGAAGAGAGCAGGAGCCCCCACAACCATCATGTACTCTTTCTACCGAGGCGCCATCGAGAGCACCCTCAGCAGCTGCAACACTGTGTGAACACTGCTCAATCAATCAATCAATGTTTATTTATATAGCCCAATATCACAAATGTTACATTTGTCTCAGTGGACTTCACAGTTTGCACAGAATATCAGTATGACAATACGACACCATCTGTCCTTAGACCCTCACATCGTACAAGGAAAAACTTCCAAAAAAGGAAAAACCCCACAGTTTAAAGGGGAAAATGGGAGAAACCTCAGGGAGAGCAATAGAGGAGGGATCCCTCTCCCATGACGGATCACTGCTGAGAGGATCATTGGTGCCTCACTCCCGACACTCCTCGAACTTTACAACACTCCCCACCCCACCCATCCCTCCAACTGCCTCTTCACCCTGGTTCTGCAGCCTCTGGTCGAGCTCCACCAGACTAAAAACAGCTTTATCCACCAGGCTGTCAGGATGCTGAACTCTCTCCCCACTGCCCCCATTGGACCTGGATTTGTACACAAACACAGAGACAGACACACACAATCAGAACCACATGCACATCCAGAACCACACACACATCCAGAACAAGACACCTTTTTTTAACCAGACACTTCTACACGCTGCTAAGTGGGTGCACAGGAGTGTATGTATGTATATCTAGATATATGTATATATATTTTTCTTTTTTTGATTCAATTTCTATTCTCTCAGGATTGTTAAAAACATCATTTCTGTCTCCCTATCTGTATTTCACACACAGAAGATTGACAATAAAGTTGACTTTGACTTTGAAGCTGCTACAAACACAGATTAGGTTGAATTAAAACGTAAAGGCTGCAAAATGTGATCTAGTCAGGAATTCATTCAAGTATAATTGTTAATTGTTTGAGAAGGTTGATAGACTTTTTTCAATCTGTATACATACTGTAGGCTAATTGCAAATTAACCTCAAAATGATACTATGGACCAATGAGGTGAACTAAGGTTAAGCTTTACAGCTGTCACATTACAACACTATAATCCTCATAAGGAAACGGGGAAATAGCAGCTCACATGTCAACATTGTAAACGCAGTTCAAAGTCCCCGACAATCCAACTTCAACGTCATAACCTGTTTCTATTCTTAGCACATACAGTATGCTATTTTTAGCTCCTGTGGCTGTGGTTTAAACATGTATTTCAAAATCTGCAGGCTGTACCGGAGGCTGTACATTTTTTTTTTTATTAATTCTGAAGCAATAGCATACACAAGCTTCCAGGTCAATGGGAACATTGGACAAACTGTTTAAATGCTTCAGACATGAGACGTTGATTTTATAGTAGTTGATTAACTCAATATAATTTATATCAGTAACTTAGTATTAAAATACAAAGAGTTTGGTGCACTACTCTATAGAGCAAATTGAATGCATTTGTGCAAAATTATTTTTAAATATACTGTAGTGTAGAGTGTAGATAAACAGTTTTTAGGACGTTTTGGTACAACTTTTACTGCTTTAATTTATCACTCAAACTGTTTTTGAATTTGTCAAAGTAAGGTATCAAAAAAGTATTGTTTGGAGACAAAACATAAGGTTTAAGCAAAAGCATGAGCAGTCTCTGAATTCATTCTGATAACAGTTCATGAAGAATGTCCCTAACCCTTCGTATTTGATGCAATATCACATATTTGTAATGGTAATGGTCACATCACTTCAGCTCCTCATTAAACATTATGATGGTATAACTATTTGTCAATTTGAATTTTGTTTTGTAAAACCTGCTATACAAGGCCTCAAGAAAAGGTACTGCTAGGAAATAATGAAGCATTAGTTAGATTTATAATGAGCTTATGTGATGCATACAGTGTCAATTAGAGACCCCCTTGTCATGTAATGCTGGAAACTAAGCGTAACATGGTATAGTTTAATGTGGACCAGAAACACCTCTTTCCATCCTGCTTCAAATAGGGCCTGGTCACACCTCTTTTTAAGACCCAGAGAGCAATGGGCAAAAAGCTGAGCTCAATTTCATTGGCTACTTACCAAACATAAGCACTAACCGTGTAAATGACAACTGAGTCAGTCAGAAAAGTTGATCTTAAAGTAGCAAGAGAGAGGTGTAAGAGAGGCCCCTAATTGTTTAACTGTAAAATATGGTTCTCTAAATGCAAATGTAGCTGTGGTTAAAACACAAAAACGATATGTTTTAAGGTTGACTGATAAGAGCTTGAATAGTCATCATTACGTTTGGGATAAATTGTCTATAAAAACATGTCGCACCCACGTCCAACTGGCTCCCTCATTGTAAAACTGCATCACTTAAAATAAATGTAGCCACTTTTTGTGTGGATGTTCAATTAATGTTAATTGGTGATGTTGTTGATTGAAGCAATCCATTCCTCATGTTGAAGGAAAATATCTCAAAGACAGTCTAGGCCAGGGGTGTCCAAACTACGGCTCGGGGGCCAAATGCGGCCCACGGACCATTTTGAATCGGCCCTCAGCAAATTAAAAAAATATAATGTAATACGGCCCAAAAAGGATGTGCTTGTCTTATATTGCACTTCTTAAATATATATGTAAATATATATTACACAGTAGTATTCATGTGTTAATAAGCCCACTTTTCAAATAAATTAAATCAATTAAAGTTGGAAAAATTTTCTAACAAATCTTAGTTGATAAAGAAAAAGGCCCAATAACTTATATACCTAACAAGCTTGAAATATACCCTTTATATTTCCCCTTATAAGCAAACTGAGGGATGAGCTGCCAACAAAATAAATGAAACCCTATGGAGAGCTGTGATCTAGGCTGTTTTTTTCTTAAGGCATTTTCAAGTATCAAGCATAATTGACCTACATTTGATTCATTTTGCTGACTTATAATTTAACTTATGAGGCAATATACCTCACCTTTAGCGAGTGGCCCAGCCCTTCCTATATTTTTCTGTATGTAGCCCTCGGTGAAAAAGGTTTGGACATGGTCTAGGCATATATTGAGATTCGGGTGAAACACATCTCAGATAAAACCCCCGAGACTGAGCCCTGCCTGGACTTCAGTGCGTCCTCTGGACCAGCTCAACAGACAACATCCCTTATTCTCCATTACACTTTACACTCACATCCATTCATCAGTTTTCAACTTCCAATCCCCCCTGAAATTCCATTTACTCTCAAAACTAAATATTTGTGTGCCACTTGTTTGCTTGGTACTTGTAAATGCATGAAACACATAATCCCAAACAGGAAATGGAAAGCCACTTCACACATCAGACAAATGAACATCTGAAGAGCTACCTGTGGGACTTTCTACTCAACAAACTGCCTCTGAATGTCTTTTTAACCTCTAAAAAGGCCTATCCAAACCACATGTACGTCCTCACTTTTTATACAATCGTATCACCTCTCTTATCATTAAAATGTCAAAGGGTCATTTTAACAGTCCCCCTAGATTTTCCCTAGATTGTGTTTCCATAAACACACAGTAATGTCACTACAGTTGTGTTGAGGTTATTTTTCTCTCAGATACCATTGTGTTTTTTGTTTCTATCTTGGAAAAAGTCACACATAGAACCCTGCTCTAACACTCTTTTATTTATTTTTGGTTAATTCAATCCGATAATCACTTTTGCAAAGGCTCCTTTTACATTATAATTATTTACATTACAATTATACAGTACATTTCCTAATAAAACGTAAAAGTGTCAAGGAGGCCTAATTAAACTATGTGAGTAATGCCAACTAAACTACGATTATGCAACTTTTGGAGCTAGGGCTGCTAACAACTCTCATTGGAGAAGTCTTTAAAAGTTTTAATCTAGTTTACTCATGCTGGCTTCTGTTCAATATTTAACCTTGCTCCATTTCCTGGCTCATTTCCACATTCTTAACAATGGCATGGCATTGCACAATCCTGCCGAGCACGGGAAAATCCCAGACACGTCCTAAACTAGTTAAAAGGAGTGAGGCATGAAGACTCAGTCACACTCTCACTGGATTCCTCCAGGTGTTTTACACAGGCTCTAAAAGCACTACCCGAATAAGCACTCCAACTGTAGGAAACCATGGCAAGCGGTAAAGTGTGTTTCATGGCAACTCTGTGCTCCCTGGTCATCCTGTCAACCTTTATCGGCAGCACACAGTCAGGTGAGTTCTACAGATCAAGCTACAGATAATACATGTGCAGTTTTTTTTGTGCAATCTCTGGCAAGTGTAGATGCATTTATAAAAGGATAAGGAAACAAGTCCTGTAATTTATTTAGCTTGTGTTACATGAAGTACCTGCAAATCCTAAAGCTCTGAAAACAGGCAGATTTACCATTGTATGTTTCAGGATAAAATCAAGGTTAAAAAGCTAATTATTTAACTAGAAAAATGTTTATAATGTATTTTTGTTCACAATGTGTTTGCAGCGAGCTGCTGCCTGAGTTACACCAGTCGTCGATTGCCATGCCAACGACTGCTCGGCTACACCGTCCAGACCATTAACACGTCCTGTGACATCAACGCTATTATGTGAGTAAATGTTTAAATCTCTTTTCAGACTACAATTCTGCACTTCAGTAGTAACAGCAGAACAGGGAGCAAGTCAGTGTATAAACTTTATTGTTAATTCATCTGCAGACATGTTTCTAAATTGAATTATCCCTATGACATTATACTACATACCAAGGTGATGTGTCAAATAACGTAACATATTTAATTGCTTTCTTGAGTTGTTAATGGTTGGCTTGTTTGCTTTATGACCTAAAAGTATTTTTTTATTTTATCTGATAATCAGTTAATTGACAAATCATTTGTGGCCCTACTTAGAAATAGTGACAGTGGACCTAAGTAAAAAAAGTTTGGGTGTCTGAAATTCTTTAGAAAAGGAGATGAAGATATAAACAAGCAAACACTAGAGAGTGGCATTTTAAATGGTATATCTTATATCTTGAATATCTTGTGTATGCCTTTTTTTCATTAATCATATCCTTCTGTCCGATGAGCAATTTATGTTACATTCAAACTGAAGTTAACATGGTCATTGATTTTGCTTTCTTTATTAATTATGTTGACCACTAAACAACCTAACAGTATGTGTTAAGATTGTTGACCTTGTTCAAAATGTGCTTTATTGAAGACATAAGAGAGTAAAACAGTTTAAGCTAATAGATCCTGGTTATTTAAGGTCACACATTAGAGGGCAGGCCCCAGACGTGACTTAACAAAGCATTAGCGGGTTAGCTTGAGAATCCCAAGTGCACCGACTTCTCGCTTGTCTTTCCAGTCCAGTTAGATGACTCAAAATCAATCATTATGTGCTGCAGGATTCACCCCAATATGTAACTGTTGCAATATGTAGAGTATAGAGACACTAACAGGTTAATACACAACCTGGAAAGGACCTGTTTTTCTGGTGAACTGCATTCATGCGTCTCGTGTTTAATGAAGTCTTCACTTTTTTTCACAGATTCCACCTCCGAGGAAGGTTCGTGTGTGCTGACCCTTCAAGCATCCGTACGTAGAGATGAAATGTGTTGAGTGAGTATATTCATGTGTCTCTAACTTCAATAAGTACTCTTACAGAATATTGAACTAAAATAATATTGTTTTTTCATTGTTTTCTGCAGTGAAAGGAGGAAGAAGAACCGTAAGATCATAGCAAACCGAACCTGAGGCCACGACACATGAGCTGTATACGAAAGTTACTGTATGAAGGATATAACTAATATTTAAAAGCCTTCGTACACCGAAGTACCCTGATAGGGATTATCATGTCATTTTGTTAAATTATTATATTACATCTTATTATATAAGATTGTGTGTTTTATAAACAGGTAGTAAATTGTACACTGAAGGTGCAGAGCATCATTGGAGAAGTATATTTTTGTAAAGACATTTTAGTAAAAAGGAATTGAGAGTAAAAGTTTGAATTGTAATTGATATTGTCAAAGGATTAATAAAAACAGAGATGTTTAATAATGCATTTGTCTGAGTTTCATAACATTCAGCATATCCACATGTTACATACCACCCTTTTTAATAAAAACAATTATTATATCTGCTGCACATTCTAAATGTTATCCTAGTTTACAGTGTTAAATGAGTAAACCAAAGGTCAGAATTTCAAATAGGGTGCAAAGAATCAAGATGAGCACAATACAGTAGACATAATATAACAGTAGATAAATCACAACGACAAGAGAATAGAGTTGAAAAATCAGTTTTCTGATAATTAATCAAGTAAATAGGCATAAACGATAAAAACTAATTTGAAATATAAGATTTAAAAAATGTTTTTAATAGAATAGTTTTAAAATCATCTTATTCCACACTGTTTGATTGTATCATATTTGTTCTACACATTGTTCTAGCTTTTCATTGATATTTAATTCAACAATATCCTAGAGTTTCGCACAATTAAAGGTCACTTATTATGCAAAATCCACGTTTTCATGTCTTTTATACACAAACATGTGTCCCCTTTGTGTAAAGAGATTCTGAAAGCTTCAGGAAAAAAGATTCCCTCACTCTTTGTCCTGAACCATTTGCATAAAAACCTTTCTGAAAATGAGATGATCAGATTTTGGCCACTTTATGATGTCATAATGATTGTTTGGCTTGTGTAACTATTAGCCAATAACGGTAACACCCCCCCCCCCCCCACCTTATCATCTGGATCTCATCTAATCTAATCTTAACTTCATCTAAAGTAAAAGACAGAGAATCAGCACTTTTGAAACAGGGCTGAAACAAAGGGGTTTATGGGATGCTACACTGCACTTCAGAGACATGTTTTGAATATATCTGAGACATATAATATATTGATGAAAAACAGTATATTAGGGGACCTTTAACATTTCCCATAATTTGAAGTTTACAGTTTTTGTATCTCGTGAAACTTTGGGAGAAGTAAAGTCCTGTAGGTTTGAATAAAGCTTGACTGTAAAACATGCATTTTTAAGCGTTATGGGATGAACAAAAACGTAGAAAAGTAGAGAGCTCATTTTGTGCTCACTGCTTTTAAGATAAAATCAAAGAAGTTAAAATAAATGTTTAAATTCAAAATATACATTTTTACAAGAGACAGTTTTCCAAGTGTTGCGGAAAACTGTCAATGAGTGAAATCAAACTGTGGCATCCTAAAAGATGATCATAATCATGACTATCTGTTCACTGCCCCATTCTAAAGTGAAAGGTAGGGCTCACCTGCTTATGGAAAAAACACATTTCACTCATACTTAGTCAACTTTGTCTTCCAGTTTGTGTGTATGGAAACTATTGAAATTAATTTCCATTTCAGTTAAACCTGTAAGAGCAGCTGATCTACAGTAGTTGGTAGGGAATGTAATCCCAGAAACCTCCTTCAGGTATACTTTGTTACATTTTTGAAAAAAACAACAAATTCCAATACGACTCCAAATCTCACATAAAGAGGATTGTATTTCCTTTCCATCATGGTCTGTCCCCCACAGTGAGGAGTAATCTGTCCTCATTGATATCTTCTCTGTTCTTTAGAGCCTTGCAGAGCTTCACCCAGAACAGCTCGGGATGCTCCTCAGCTTGAGGCCAGCTCAGGTAGGTCTGCCTCTTCAGCAGCTTCCTTATGCGGTGGTAAGCAGAAAGCTGAGAGGTGGGAATATCCTCCAGAAACACCAGAACCAGCACGTCCTTCTGCTCATCAAACAGGCGGAAGCTACACAGAGGAAACAGATGAATGGAACTAATCTATTGTAATAACCTTTTAATAAAAATGTTATGTCTGTAACATATAAGTGATTTCGAAAATTTCATTTCAGAAAAAGATGAATCAAAAGCAATTATTTTTGATTCTTTCAAAGTTTCAGACTTGGTTTAGGTTTAAGATTATGACACTGTTCATGGTAAACATGGTGTTTGAAATTATTTTTTGCTTGCAGAGATTTGAATGTTTCTGTAATTGTAATAGAGACCCCATTAAAGAACAGTAAGGGAGGCTTTGTATTGCCATGTGTCTTAGCTCAGATACGTTTAGAGTCAGCTTGCATGTTACCTGGCCACCTGGATCTCTCTGGAGCACCATTCACTCTCAAGATATTTGCGACTGATGACACAGATTGTCTTCCTGCTTCCATAAATGGCATCTGTTATGTTGTCAATGATGGGTTTACCTGAGGTAGAGTAAAGGGAAACATTAGTAGATAATAACATAGACATTCACCTGATTAGTTCTTCGGATGGTGTCGTTAAAAAAGTACTATAGTGACACCTTCTGGGGAAAAGATACAGGTCAAAACTACTGCGAAATCTGATCTGCCAGTTAAGATACGGTGTCATGGAAATACAATTATATTAACCAAATGTATAAGAAATTGATGAACCTATTTTTATTTAGTTTTTTGATTTCTCAAACATCGTTTTGGCCAATTGTTAAAGCTCATCTTGTTTGTAGTAATTTTGCCCCTTCTGCCTTTATGTTCCTCCCCAAGCCCCTGCATCTCTATTGCAATACCCCACCCTTCTCCCAGAAACCCCACGACTTTCCTCCTCTAATAATATTTTTATGCCCAACCATGTCTCATTTACAAATCAATCTGTCAGAACACATACAGTACCAGCCCCCATGTTACCCAGTCAGTTGTCAGATTAGCAATGGTGCTCTATGCCCTTTTTTCGAAATAAAGACCCCTGAAACCGATCCTTAATCTGAACACTGCCATAATTCTCGACCAACCACCTGATAGAATAACATTGCCATTCCAAAATAATTAACTAGCATGGCTAAAATATTAGTTTAGTGCCTGCTGCAAAACTCAGTCTCACCTGGCTCGAAGTCTCGATGGTGCAGACACAATTTGAAGCCCTGCTCTTCTTCCAGTTTTGGCACCAGCTCTTTGATGACCCATGGCTCATCATGGGTGTTGTAGGAGATGAAGGCGTCATACTGATTTGGAGCTTGCTTGTTTTTATACTTTGTGTCAAAGAGCAAAGCCAGGAAGATGTAGTAGGCGTAGGCCAGTTGCCACCTCAGGAAATTGTAGGTGAAGGTCACCACCATAAACAGGAGTATGCTACATGTGGTGGTGATGAAGTAGACAAATTCAATGTCCACCATGCAGGACCGTACGTCTAGGTCCAACAGTTTCTTACCTTTAAGGCCTTTTGGATAGTTGCACTCAAAGTTGGAGGCGCCAAACACTTGTGTTTGCAGGTCATTAACTGCCCATTGGCCAAACCAGACATTATCACAGTCACAGGTGAAACTATTGCCCTTAAGATCAATGTAAGCGAGAGCCGGTAGGGACTTTATAACTTCCATACTGATAACTGAATATTCATTATTTCTTGCCTGTAGAAACTCTAGGTTTGTAAGGTTGGCATCAATAAGGAAATCTAGAGACCCAAGAACTAACCCTCTAGATATGTAGAGGTTTTTAAGGTTACCAATTGGGGAAAACAGATCCGGAGAAAGATCTTTTAGGTTGTTTCCGCTAATGTCAAGTTTTTGCAGTTTAGGCGTGTAAATAAACATGTCTTTGTGGAAATGCAGAAGATGCATGTTCCTTGCATCGAAATACGAAAGGTTAGTCAAACCTTTCAGAAAGTTGCGAGGCAGATGAAACCTCAACTTTCTGTGTTGCACTGGCATAGCCAGTATCTCCAGATCGGACAGCTGAGAAAATGGTGGATCAGGCAGAAGATCGCTATCGTTGAGGTATCGAATGTGATTCTCACTTAATTCCAATCTTTTCAAATGTATTAGATCATTGAAAGCATCTCTGAATGTATATTCTTTTAAACTATTTGATTGCAGCTGAATAACAGTTAGATCCGTCAATCCGATAAAGGAGCCATTTGCAAGTTTCTCTATTTGATTTTCATGTAATGACAATATCTTGAGGGATTGCAAGCCTTGAAAATCCCCCCGCTGAATGGTGGTGAGTCTATTTGCATTCAAATGCAGTTGTGTAAGATTTGGTAAGAACTCTTTGAAAGCATCTCCTAAGTTGTAGATGTTGTTTGCCTCTAGCTTTAAAACTTGCAATCCTATTAAATCCTTGAAAACACATTTTTGTAGAGCTGAAATCTTATTCTGATGAAGGTTAAGCTCTCTGAGCCCTGTCAGATTGGTGAAATCGTGATACTCAAGTCTCCTGATGTTATTCATTTGGAGAGACAACTTTTCAAGTCTTGGTAGATTGCTAGTGGCAGCTGGAACAGATAAAAGCTTGTTTTGACTCAGATCTAAGATCCTTAAACCTTGAAGATATGTGAAGGCCTTGTCTGAAATATTTCGTATTCGATTATCTGATAAATCTAACTCTTTTACATGAATACACCCCTGGAACAAATTTGACCTGATAAAAGAGAGGTTGTTACGTTGGAGATGGAGTTTGGTTACTGTTGGGATGGTGCAGGACATATTGATTCGTTTTCTAAGGTTTTTTTGTTTCATCGCATTCATCGTCAGAGAGGTCAGTGAGAAGTTGAAGAGCTCTTGTATTGTTTTCCTGTCAACAGGAGTAATTTGAAGCCCACTTATATCAAGAGTGGAAACTTGACTAAGAAAAGTCTTACCAACCTCCCATTTCAGCGGTTGTTTTTTATAAGTGCGGCTGATGTTCAACAATTTAAGATTTGGAAAAACATCTGCAGTGATACTAAAGACTGAAAAGCGATTCTGAGACAAATTAAGTTGCGTAAGTTTTAGAGAGACATTTGTCATTTCCCATGACTTGAAAGTGGGTAAATTGTTGTCTTCAACTGACAGCATCTGTAAATGTGTTAGGTTCTGTATTACTGAATTAAATGTTGTTATGTGGTGCAGTTTGTTGCTGGAGATTTCCAAAAGCGTTAAGCTTGTTAAGGACCTTAACGAGGTGGATGACACAGCTTTAATGCTATTATTATTCATTCTGAGCTCTGTGAGATTGCTCAAACCTTCAAAAAGATCATGTCCAAGCTTAACAAGTTTATTATGATTTAGATTCAACCATTTGAGGGAAATCAGATTTCTGAAAGTGCCCGTGTCGATATGAGAAATAGAGTTCCGTTGAAGGTCTAAATGCATCAAAACAGATAGATTTTTGAAATCTGACACTTGCAATTTAGAAATTTGGTTCACAGACAAGTCCAAAATTGTAATGGTTGCGGGAATTCCTCCAGGGACAGATTTTAGTTTTAGTTCATTCGTGGAACATATGGCAGTATTATTAGTGATTCGGCATGACTTAACTGAAAATCCTGTGACTGGAGCAACAATACTACTGATATTCAGCAAAAATAAAAAATAACTTAGTTTGAACCATTTGGGTCCTGGTTTTGGCATTGATCTGTCCTCTTTTACTCTAGCATCCATTTTTTTATCTTTGCAAAAAACAAAAAATGTCTTCCTGGTGAAAAAGTCAGCAGAATGTGATCCTGGAGATTCCAAAACAAAAAAAGGACATCAAAAACAGAAACAAACAACAAATAATCTAAATTCAAACACTCATACTCCACATAAATGATCACTACAAATAGGTGCAGTACGATAACTGAACATCTCAGCTCGGAGAGTTCACTCTTTAAATGTTTTAGCAGAAGTTCTGATACTCACTGTGATTCACAAAGAAGAGCTGATTAATAACTGATGACGTAGCCGCAGATTCTTCTTCTAAAATGAACCTCCTTTGTTAAAATGTTCCTCTCAAATAAAAAGAGTAGAAATGTTATCCTTTACCATGCAATAGACTGTGTACAGGACAAACGTGTTCGTCTCCAGAAGAAACTCCTTTCCTCTGACTCTTCCCTGTCCTCTTTTGTAGGAATCACACAAGGAAGTGAGAGTGGAAGGAAGCGCGGCTGTTTTTTCAAAGGCATCCTAAATTATATATGTTCAGTATATTCATGCCTCTGAGCTTTTATTGGAAAATCAGAAATGTGTTTTGAAGAGTTGTCTTTTTTCTCAAGATTTAGATTATGTTAATGATGTGTAATATAATGTATGTAAACACAATTCTTAGAGAACATTATCATACTTCTAAAAGTTCCAGAATGTTAATGTTAATTCCCTTAAATGCAAATTAGTTATAATTTCTCTATTCCCTTTTTTACTTCTTATTTTATGTATCATGCACCTTTGGTGGGATACACTTCTTCTAATCAAACAATGAAGGGCCTAAACCGAGTGTGAGAAAATCCAACTAAGGAATCACACTTCCTCTTGATGCTGCTTCGTAAATCAGTAACTTCCTCAGCCTAGGAAAGTATTGATTGTTGAGAAACTTCACTGCTCAAATTCATTAAAACAAAATGAGGAAGAGATGTGGTGCATTAATAAACAAAGGTGCTGTAGAGGGAGACTATGGATGGAATGTCCTTATATTCATGTGCCATGTGACAATTTGAAATGTAATGGAATACATTTGCAGTAAGACTTTCAGGTATTCTGTTAGCTCTTAATATTGTTTCTTCTGTTTGTCGTATAGTGTTATCCCTTCTCAGTTAGCACACAGAAAGGATTACGTTTTCCATCTTCTTTGTCTATTTTCGTTAAGGCAAGACTTCTTCTTTAACCTGCATGCAGCACTTTTTCCCGTAATACGTTTCTGCTTATTGAGGAATTGATATACCACTTAAATACCTCACATCTGTTTCAGCAAGACCTCTGCTCATGTTCAAACAGTCTTCACATACCCGACGTATACATGTACAACATATCCCACATTTTTCTGAGATTTCAAAATCAATTTATATTTTTGAGAAAGAAATCTTAATATTATGGCAACAAAGTGCACACTCAATGAGGAAAACCTTTTTTTTAAGTAACCTTCCCTGCTGTCCATCACATGATTTAGACAGAGCCACATTTACACAAATCACTGTTCTGATCTTAATTGAGTTGGAAACTGAATCTAAGTAAAGCTGCTTTCCCATGATATGCAAATTGCTCTTTGCTCACTGCCTCTCCTAGCTTGTGCTGCTACCTGTTACATAAAAGTAGTTTAAAGTACAGATGCCGGTCAGAGGTCTTCTTTGTTATTTATTGAGCTTTAAAACAAATTGATAACGACTCTATATATTAATATAAGAATAATAAACGGAGCCTCTCTTTTCCTCCCCCTCTTCTGACAGCCCAGCAGCTGATCTCTGAGCAGGAGACGTGGCAACACATTCTCACTCCCAACTCGGCCTATGTTGACGTTATGTCAGGGTCCCTGTCGTCACTTTCCTTTAGCGTCGAGTTTCAACTATCAGGGAGTCCCATTGACTTGCATAGAGCTCCCTAAACGTTGGTAATAGACGAGTTGGGATCGCGGCGAAATGCTCGCCGCAGATCCATTCTCACAGCGTTTATCAACCTTTTTCTTACTCAATATCAAGCCAAACTTATTGTTTTTACTTCTTTATTTTAATTGAATAATGTAGGACTTTTGTTGCCGTCAGTTATGGGGAGAGTAGGGGGCTTAGAATACTGAAATCTGTATTGTTTCATCGTTTTTTCCTTCTAATTTTGTATTATTTTCTAAACTACACACTGTTATTTACTCAACAATAAGACACAATTATCCTTGTGTTTATTTATTTGTTTGATTGTATAATGTCGGACTTTTGGAGTCCGTCAGGACCGAGGGTCGGAGCAGCTCATTCGAACACAGGAAGCTGTATTTTCAAAATAAGAGTTCATTTTAATATTATGTTTGATAATATATTTTTTATTAACTAGACCACTGGGTCATGTTAAGACCATCTTTTCTGTCGGTTTGGTGTTACAAATATAAAAACAATATGTGTGAATAACAAAATACATCCATCATAAACTAAACTGGAAACAGCAGTATATTGTATTGTGTTAACACTGTAAACCTGAGTGCTTTAACCGCCTAGTGGTTAAAGCATGTTATTGAATTTTTTTATTGATATGTTATATTTGATGAAAACATAAAAATATTAAGAGTACATACTTTCATAGGGGGAAAGTAGAAGGTCAATGATAGAAATATAGAATAGAACATATCAATAAGATACTGTAAGTGATCTCTACAATAAAACAGTTTAGTGCAGGACGTCCAAAGATATTAACAGGAGGATGTGCAAAACAGACAAACTAATCAGGCTTTCTTCAAACATTAAAGAATACTTTAGGTTAAGGCAGGGGTGGGCAATTATTTTTTACAAGGGGCCACTTCAGAAACTCGAGCTGTGTTGGGGGGCCGAATCAAAAATAAGTTGAACTTAATTCTGCTCAATATACCAATACTGAAAAGGTGAAGAAATGAATCAGCTTTATACAAAAATAAATGAGTGCTTTTGATTTTTGTTTTTCAGTTCATTTGACTTGTTCAGTGAGAAAAATCCAGTCTGTCTTGGGCTTGAACAAGTGCACGGAAATCTGGTTCAATGTCTGAGGTGGATATGCGAAGGACAGCTGAGAGGTGATCATCAGTGATAGAGGATCTGTATCTGGATTTGTTGAACTTCATCACTGAGAATGTCTGTTCACATAGGTAGATCCAAAGAGGACCATCATCTTCTGAGCACGTCTCCTGATGTGTGGAAAGTTCTCCTCTTTCAGGGAAGAGTAAAACTCAGGCAGTGAGATTGACCTAAAGTGCTCTGACAGAAGTGTGTCAGACTGCAGGTCAATGAGTTCAAGCTGAACATCACTGGGTGCATCATCCACATGGCATGTAAATGGGGAAAAGATCATGTTCATTTCATTCTCAACTGTTTTGAAGTCTTTAAATCGCCTTGAAAACTCACCATGCAGTGCTTCTAACATGGATGAGTACCTCTGGAGGTGATCAGCTGATGGTGTGGCTTCCTTCAGTGTTGGCAAGTGCGTGAGAATGTTGTCCTCCATTTGGCTTGAGAGAAGCTGCAGCTTTCTCATGAAAGCCTTCACTGCACTGTACATGTCATGCACAAAAAGGCCCTTGCCTTGCAGTTTGACATTTAGTTCACTCATTAGTGCAGTCACATCTACAGCAAAACCAAGGTCTGCCATCCAGTCTGCATCTGAAAGCTGTGGGATGTCGTTTCCTTTCTTCACACAGAAGTCTTGAATCTCTTCTCTCAGGTCCCATACTCTTTTCAGCACTTTGCCCAGGCTGAGCCACCTGACAGCTGCATGGTAGGGTATGTCACGATGTTCAGTCTCACTTTCCTCCAAAAGTGCAACAAACTGTCTGTGATTCAATGCTCTTGCCCTGATGAAGTTAACTATTTTAGTTACAACATCAACAACATGGTTAATTTTTAACACTGACTTACACAACACTTCCTGATGTATAATACAATGCAAAAATACCAATTTCTGCTCAGGGTTCATTTCTGTCACTTTATCCTGCATTCTCTTCAATAGTCCAACATTTTTCCCTGTCAGATTTGGACAACCATCCGTTGTCACGCCTGCCAGCTTGTCCCATTTCAGTCCCAACTTTTCCACACATGCATTTACCTGCGTGAACAAATCACTCCCTGTTGTTGTCCCTTTCATTGACTGCATGGCTGCCAGCTCCTCCGTGATTTTGAAGTCTATAGTTATCCCACGTAGGAAGATGAGTAGCTGGGCAGTGTCACGTACATCGCAGCTCTCATCCAAAGCCAAGGAAAAAAAGTCAAAGTTGACCGCTCGGTTCTGCAGCTGAAGCTCCAGATTTCCCGCGATGTCCTCAATCCTCCTCGTAACAGTGCGTCGGGAGAGAGCGGCACTTTCTCGAATGCCTCCTTTTTCTCCGGGCATATTAGTGCGGCAGAGTCCAACAAACACTCCTTAATGAACTCTCCGTCCGAAAACGGTTTACTTTTTTTTGCAATTTTGTGGGATAAGACATAACTCGTCTTGACAGCTGCATCTCTGGATGTGGAATGTTTTGTGAAAATGTGTTGTTGGCTTTGCAGCTTAGCTAGCAAAGCATCCGACCCCTTTGCCCGCTCTTCCTCAGACAGGTTCTTGTATTTATCTGCGTGTTTGGTAGCATAGTGGCGACTCAAATTGTACTCCTTGAACACAGCGACCTGCGCACCACAAACTAAACACACAGCTTTACCTTTCACTTCTGTAAATAAATACTTAGCGGTCCATGTCTTGTTGAAAATGCGGCATTCAGTATCGATCTTTCTTTTTTTGCCCTTAGCGGACATTTCGAGGACTAGCCGGCCAGCATCACTCGTAGCTGTTCACGGCATGCGCGTTTACGTAAATAAATTTAAAAAACAGCAGCGCCCTTTTCAAAAATAAAAGCAACACAGTTAGAAAAGTATTTACGCCATGCATACAGCTGTGTTGCTTTTATTTTGAAAAGGTTGCTGTTTTTTTTCATTATGTTATAATTTATGATCAACCTCACGCGGGCCGGCCAAGGCCGGCCAACGGGCCGGATGTGGCCCGCGGGCCGTAAAATGCCCAGTACTGGGTTAAGGTCTTCTTTTGAATAAGAAAAAAGCTTTGGGGGTAACTACAGATAAATATTAAGCCTGACAAAGTACTTAACGTCTAATATATTGCATAATTTGTTTTGGGACTTGACAATCAACTTTCCTGCAATGTTAACTATGTTGAAGCACTTATTTTAACTGATATTATACATATGTATTAAACTCTTATAAGATGTATGTAGATAGAATAAGAAATGTGCAGAATATGACAGTTTAATGGAGGTTCACACATATCGATAGATGTCTTGTAATGCACTGTTGAGGTTGACGACCCAAGTTTTTCATCTCTGACCTTGTCAGGTATTGAATATTCAATAAATAAAGAACACTA